TAAACCACAGCACGTGTGGTAGGGACATAAAAACAACATGCTTACAACTTACAATACTTATTGTGACGAGGGGACGGACGGGCCTATTCTTACCCGTGCCGTGCTGTATTAGATTATTTTTTCTTATTTTGAACAATGGTTTTGGTGAAAGGATGTCTAGTACCTCTTCTATAACGGATATACTTGTAAAGTTGTTTAATAGATACGTGTAAAGTGAGATACTTAAAACTGTGACTGACCAATAAATAATTTGAATACTGTTCTAGTACTGTGCAGAATATTGCGCATCAACCTTCAACTAAACAGCTACTGTCGAACCTGCACAAGACAGACATGCGAATGCTACGCTGGTCAGTTGGTGTCACACTACTGGAAATAGGCCGTAATGTCCACATCAGAGGAAGCTACAAGATTGCCCCGACCACGGACAGTCAAAGAATGACGCCTGAGATGGTATGGACATGTGCTCCGCCGTTCTGAAGACCATATGGTACGAGTAGCCTCGACGACGCGACGCCGCGGAAGACCTCCCGCCACTTAGTTGACGACGGTCAAGAAAGACCTGAAAGAGACAAATATGGACGCCGAAACTGAACAGGACAGAGACGGAAAAGGTAGACAATGAGAGCCGACTACAAATTATGAGAAGGCTAAGAAAACGAAGATGATGACTGTTTTAGGACTGAGCTTTACGTAGTAAAATGCTACAAACTAACTTTCGTAGCGCAAATGCTACGAAACTTACTACGCGTAAAATGTATGAAATACTAGGCAGGGTGCAAGCTCAAGTGATCATCAGACAAAATACTAAAAATATTTTTTTTACATTCAGATTTTACCGTAAAAAAAAAAACGATTCGCTATTTTGCGAGAGTAGATGGAGACATACGTAAAAAAATGCATTCATCATTTCACATAAAGATTTTCTGAAATATTTGCTCTGCAACTCATGTTTAATTCGATGGAAGTTAAATTTTTTGTTTGTTTGACGTGACGTTTCGCCTTAACAGCTAAATCGCTATGCTGTAGACAGTACCTGCAGATTGAAAACGATTTATCTCGCAGCTTTTTGCCACTCATCACAGGAATGGACTACAAAGGACAAAATATAGGAGGTTCAAATCGTTTTTCTATTCACAAAGTACGAGTATATGAAGTCCAAAGCCTGGGACCGCAACAATCTCTTTTATTGTCACTCGGTTTGCTCAAATCAAAGAATTTGGAAGAATGCACCAATATCAAAGTGAAGCTAAAATGTTGATGTCTGAAATTGCGAATGTTATTGATTTCAAGATACACTGTACTGTGTTACACACAATAATGCTATGTGCAATAATTAAGAATAAACTTATTTTAGGTCATCAACTTAGAATTTCACACGAAAAGAAACAGATGTAAGACTTTTTATGTAAAATTTTTGATATTTCATATTATTAGTATGTGTATAAAAAACTAGTACACGTTAGTCTCATAAATTAGTAAGTTAATATTCTAGCGATAGTACTATTTTGATTAGTGCACATTTTAGAGATTAAAACATAAAACTTACCTATTTTTTGAAATTTTTATTTATTTATAGGAACAACTTTCATGTCTATCTGATGAATGTAGATAAAAATCGTCAACAACGCACACCTCCATGGCAAAATGCTCTCGCAACGAATCGAACCAGCCGATTGGAGAGACATTTCCAGGAAAGCAATCCAAGATCAGAAGACAAACGATAACTAAACATGTGAGCGTACTTCCTACCTCGTATGCTATTGGAGCAATTACGACCACTCTGTCAAAACTGTGCAACTTAGAAAAACATTTATTTGGATAAACTTTTTCAGGCTTCACTTTGATGCTTCATAACACAGTCTCCTATATTCTTTGCTCAAAGCGTCATAGGTTTTTCGGTGCAATATTTTACTGTGGCGAAATGGTTTTCGCGCCAAAAAGGGGCGGCCATGACAGATGCAATTTGTTATAGTTCACTTGGGGCTTTGGGTAAGCAGTTCTTATTTTATTTCACATTTTTTACACATGGGCTGTTGAGATGAAGAGCCTTTTGGCAACAGGTCCATTTGTTGTGGCCAGTTTGAATTTTATTGAATACGAATAACTACAATACGGTTGTTCGAAAAGGTCCTAGTTGACAGCTGTGAAAACCGTGTAAATGCTATTATGCTTTGTTGACATGTCTTCTAGTATGGGTTTGACAGCTGACAAATATGGCCACTTCAAACGACCGTAATTTAAAACGAAAATCTTTTCAGCAAGGACGAAGCCAAAAACATTGAACTTTTGTAACACACTAGTATTTCGACCCATCGACAAGAATAGTCCAAAGTCAAAACTCTCTAACCCTACTGTACCTATTAAAAGGTAGTAGGTGTATTATATTATCTGTTATAATATGAATAGCATCACTCTACATCGTTCCCATGGGTGTCGTACACGTCATAAGAAGCGAGTAAGGGATTGAAGAGTTGACGTGTATTTCTATTTTAGGCGACAGGGCTAACAACCAGTCACTATGGTGATGTTCAGTCTTCTCTCTCTTACTTATCAGACGTGGTATAAATGGTATGTTTTTGCAGTCTTCTACGTTTTACCTACCCCACAAGGAATATAGGCGTGCTATATGAATGTATGTGTTGCCTTGATGGCAACAAAGAATACGACGAGCTTCTTTCTTACGATTCTTCTTTATTAAGAAGCATAGGAAACCCTAAAAATTATATGGTACCGGTTAGTAACTAGTTATGATGGTACGGGGATATGGTGAATATGGTGATAGCAAATCTATTACCTTTCAAGGGCTTCCTGGAGTAAATACTAATAATAGTAGTAGTATGGCACTTATATGCACTATTAACAACACTGACACTGGTAGCTAAATTTTAGATGGGTTATTTGTTTATACGAAAATGGGTTATTTATAGGTAACAGAATGTGAAAATACGTGAAAGCACAATAAGAGGGACCGTATCGTCCGACTCTCGAAAATTGAATGCGTCAAAAAAAAAAAAACCATGAACGGTGACGTTTCGGTGTCGTGTTCCAAATTTAAGTTATAAAATGATTCGAAAAAAAGGAGATGTGAGGGTGGCTTAGGGAGGATGTCAATGCAGAGTTTGCACTCTGCTACATATGTATGTCTTGGGTACTGTGCCTCGGTGTTTTTCTATAATAAGTTGTGCTTATCTGTTTCTTTTAAATGTTTCATGAATAAATTCTTAATAAATTAAACTAACCGCAAACAAACTATCCTTAATGCCTGTGTGTATCTTCCTTTGTCTGTCCCACTCCTTATCTAGGATAACAGAGACACTGTGACGTCATCTCATCTGGCTTTGTCTGACAGGATGCAATAAATTTGCGTCTCTATGTCCACTACATTAAGGTGTATATTATGATTGCGCTCCTACTTGTAGAGGTTCATAGGACAGACAGTTAGGTCTCTAGGATTGTAATTCTCGATTACAGTTTTTGTGATGCCGGATTAGAATATCATCACATCACCCATTTCCCTCTTCTAGGTATCGTAAGGACTAAAAGTTTCTTGTGGTCTACAATTTGAGGCAACTGGCTAAGCGATTTTTCTGAAACATCACTCAAATATAATGTCAGACGTGGCGGCAACGCTTTGCCTACCCCAGAAGAGATAAAAGCATGACATAAATTACACGTTTTACTTTACCGTCCAAAAATTATACCTTCTACGTTCAAAGAACTCACTTAAAATTCATATAACACAGGTCCCCGGAGTGTGATGGCAAAATGTAATATCGGGAAATGTCAATCAGGTTTATACCTACATGTCCTTCGATTTGGGTCATTGTTGGCACGGAATAAAGGGGGAATATAATCTTTCAATAGCTGTTTACAATAACCTGTCGTCAATTTCCGTTAAAAGCGTGGGTGGTATATGAATATTGTCACAAAATGGAGAGTTTACAAAAGGTCAACTCGAACCTATTTAGGATTTTCATATTTTCACTTATCACATAGCCAGGTATATACAACTCTATTTTGTGGTAATACCGTTAGATAGCACGTAGTAGGTAGAATACCCAAATTTTAAAACACTACCAGAAAATTTTGCAAGTTTTCCTAAAACGTAGTAGGTATTTGATCAACGTAGATATTTGTGCTGTTGTTGTAGTTGTCTGATTTATTTTGTTGTTTGCGTACTTGAGTCATGGTTGTTTTTGCGATCAAGAATATAAATCAACCAACTTTACCTATCTTCTGAAAAAACAAGTGTGCAAACAACGCCATAAAACAATAATTACCTATAACAAGCAGACGTATTAAAAACAAAAACCCGATGCAGATATTTCAAAGTTGTATTTTGCGAATAAATCCACCATCTTGAATTTATGATTTTTAATATAGCCTCGCGCTGCTGAGACTAATCTAACGACACCTCACATGTCAAGATCCGCCCAGCCGTTTGGGATGTAGCCCGTGAAAACGAATTTCTGGATGCATAGGTACATACACTCGAAAAACAGGCTCCAGAGGCAGTCGTGTAATAACAAATTGTAATGTTTCACTTCACCACGGTACCTTTCATGTTCCGAGTTCGATCTCATGATTTGAAGGGTCGGCCCGGTTTCTTTCTATGATTTTTTAGTACTACAAATACAATTAGAGTTTACCAATTTTGTTTGTTTTGTTTCTTTCTATGATTTTTTAGTACTACAAATACAATTAGAGTTTATCAATTTTGTTTTCACATTATATGAAATGAATGACATGAACAACAATTTGTCGGACGGACATAACAAGTATCAGTGTATCAGACAATGTATAAGTTCAATAGGTCGCGTCGAGACTCGCGCCCCTTGGCATGGTGCCTTCAGACTACAGACAACGTCGTCTCAAGGCCTTTGCTCTTATAAAGACCTTGGCTACGATGCTGCGATACATTTTGTATGCTAACTCTTAGATGTTTCTTGCTGTTTTTGGAACAAACTCAGAAAGTAATAAATATCAACTTTGTTAAGTGACCCACCGGAAATCGAACCCGGAACCTTCTGCGTCACAGGCAGTCGCACTACCATTGCCCCTGTCTAAAAGTTTGTCGAGCATAGCAAGTATCAGTGTATCAGACAATGTATAAGTTCAATAGGTCGCGTCGAGACTCGCGCCCCTTGGCATGGCGCCTCCAGACTACAGACAACATCGTCTCAAGGACGTTGCTCTTATGACATAACCTTAATGTACGGCTGTCCAAATAGGCTATATTTGACAGCTGACATTTCCATACTAAAAGAAATGACAACAAAGAAAAATAGACTTTTATGTAATAGCATTTACATGATTTAGACACCTGTCAATATCCTATTCGAACGGCCGTTCTGTAGTTTCATAGATGTTGGTTGCTGTCTGTTTAACCGACTTCCCATAAGGAGGTTATTATTTTGTCCTATTGATTTAATAAAACTTTGTCGGGCATAACAAGTATCAGTGTATCAGACAATGTATAAGTTCAATAGGTCGCGTCGAGACTCGCGCCCCTTGGCATGGTGCCTCCAGACTACAGACAACGTCGTCTCAAGGCCGTTGCTCTTATGTTATGTTATGACATGACCTTGGCCACTACGATTGCGCTAGCCAATACTTACTTTGTGCCACTACTCTGTGCGAATATTTTTCTAAGGCACAAGCTCAGCAAAGTAGACGTAAGTAAGACGCACGCTTAGTGCACCGCAAAATACAACAGCAAACTATATAAAAGGCTAAATATTTCAGGGTTAATAATTTAATTGTGAAACACAGGTATCAAATTACAGTGTGATGTGTACCTATACGTTTCCCCAAGGGCAGGCTGTTTGATAATTAGCATTTATAGGTAGTAAGGATTAGCCTTAAGTAGACTTCTATTAACTGTTATCTGTTTACAAATTTTTCAGTTATTAAGTAAGACTGAAATAAATGATTTATTTGTGAAACACAATCACACACATTTGTAATTACAGTTAAAGCCGCTATAGAGCTTTTCACGAAGCCCATACAATTTTCCCTGCCAGACCTCTCGGAGCGTCATTTTGCGAAAAACATGGGGATGTTTGAATATTCTTTACAGTGATATTATGAATAAAAATAAATATATTTTTCTGCAATTAGATTAAGTACATCGTCTTAAATAACATATATTTTTTTTAAATCTTTACTACTGTTATTTTTGCATACAGAAGCCGTTATAATGGCGCATTATTTTGCAAAAAATCGTATATAAAAACGTGGTATTATTCTATATTTCTGAATAAAATTGTAAAATTTTCACTGTAGACTTTGTTCTCAAATATATACTCTATTTTTTTGTATAATTGATATTTTTTTACAGTGAACCAAAACTCTAAAACTCACGCTTGATTTGAGGTCTTTTCCTGAATTTTGGTTTTGTCGCTTTAGATATCGCTGTTTGTAACAGGTTTAAAACTAAAATGTTAATATTTACATTGTACATTTTTTAGATGAAAATATGCTTGATGAAATGTTCAAGTAACATATTATTTTTACATAACGGTTTTCGAGAAACTCGCATGTTTATAAAGCCAATATTTGCAAATTTGCTAGAAAAAATTGAATGCGGTCTTAAGTAGGTCTTATATACCCTAGATACGTTAGTATAAGATAAATAGTAGGATGAAGTATCTATCGTTCCTGCGATGTCACTTGGAATGACGAGGGACAATTAAGCCAGACGAAGGGTGAAACGAGCGATTAATGGCACAAATTATGCTTTTGTTTACTACATCTGTTCTGTTATTCGCCTACTCATCTTATCTCTATATTATTATTGTTGCCAAAACAATGCCAAGCACTTAAAATGACACGTTATGTCAAGAGTTAAAGATTCCGCGTCACAAATCTAGTGCTTTTATGGGAAGTTTTAAATATGCATTTGGAAAGATTTGCCACTTTGCTTACTACATCCTGTTATCCGCCTACTCATCTTCACTCTATTGTGAGCTTACATAATACCACGTACTTATAAAAGCTTTTTAACAAAAAATATCAACCAACGAAAACTGAAAAGCATAAAATAATTAAGCTTTGTTAGTCAGCCTTAATAAAATCATTAGTTTACAAACTATTGATAGAAGGTACTATAGTAATATTTTCAGAAATGTTTTGAGATAATATTCAATTTTATTAACTAAGTTCATAACATAAATTAATCTAAATGTGCCTGTCTAAATGATTTTGAGTCGGCGCCAATCATAATTAAAATAAATAATCATCCATGGAACAAACATCTACCTACTACTATCCTGAATGGAACGTGGTCTCCCACTTAGTTTAATTATTTTATGCTTTTCAGTTTTCGTTGGTTGATATTTTTTGTTAAAAAGCTTTTATTTTACACTTTTTTGTGACCAATATTTGACTGTTTCTTTTCTTCGCGCGCTGATTCCCTAATTTTTTGTGTAAAGTATGGTAATAAATACGCTTGATTGACAGGCACATTTGCCTGTCTAAATGATTTTGAGTCGGCGCCAATCATAATTAAAATAAATAATCATCCATGGAACAAACATCTACCTACTACTATCCTGAATGGAACGTGGTCTCCCACTTAGTTTAATTATTTTATGCTTTTCAGTTTTCGTTGGTTGATATTTTTTGTTAAAAAGCTTTTATTTTACACTTTTTTGTGACCAATATTTGACTGTTTCTTTTCTTCGCGCGCTGATTCCCTAATTTTTTGTGTAAAGTATGGTAATAAATACGCTTGATTGGCGCCGACTCAAAATCATTTAGACAGGCACATTTAGATTAATTTATGTTATGAACTTAGTTAATAAAATTGAATATTATCTCAAAACATTTCCGAAAATATTACTATAGTACCTTCTATCAATAGTTTGTAAACTAATGATTTTATTAAGGCTGACCAACAAAGCTTAATTATTTTATGCTTTTCAGTTTTCGTTGGTTGATATTTTTTGTTAAAAAGCTTTTATTTTACACTTTTTTGTGACCAATATTTGACTGTTTCTTTTTTTTGTGAGAGAGAAGTCCCATCTCAACCCCCTAAATGTAATGATTTGTACTAAGAAGTTGTACGTCTACTATGTCTATCAACCTCAACCTTTCATAGTTAGTAAGTGTAGACGGACGTAACATTAAAAATAAACATATAGGTATTACAACATACTTTTTTTAGTTCGTTCTGATGTTCAGTCACATGATGATAATTCTTTACCTCAGTTTTTCTTGCAAATATTTCACAACAACGTCAACAACAACTACCAGCTTGCTCTTCATATTCAATGTGATACGCAGACCTTATCGAATAGGTACTTGGAATATACCTATTATGAGGTTTTCTAAATGCAATAAAATACTTCATTCAGTTCAGTTCATGTTAAATACACATGTAATATCATTAGTCGGCCATGTAGTAGTAGCAACACCAGCAGTTCTTTTAGGGTAAGCCAGGCAGTCTTCTCCACAGGCCTTATCAGTCAGATGTCCGCTTGCATAGCACAGAGCATGGGATCTATTCATAAAATCATTGGTTGCTTATAACAATGTTATTGTAAACATTTACCTATATAGGAAAATAGGATTTGCTCTACCTACAGCTGAATTCAATTTATCAAATATACTCGTACATTGCTATTTGCAAAAGTTTTCTGTTGTCGAAGTTTTAAATAAATGTAAACAAACACGAATATGATTGGTTTGATTTGAGATAAAAGAGCCTTATCACACAACCGGTTTGCTGGCGGATGCGGAGCGAACGCCTTGAGGACGCGCAACGCGCGACTGATGCGCGGTGGATACGCAGCGAATTCGTCTCGGACGTGCGGCGGATACCGGCGGTATTTCTATCAAAACGTTGCAAATCGCTTCGCGTACGTGACTAATTCGCTGCACATCCGCCAGCCGTCCGTTACGCTCCGCACCCGTTCGAAAACCGCTTGTGTGATAAGTTTGAGCTAAGTCAAACTGTGATGTAAGACGTCAATGACACTATCGTCAATGGTCCTAAAAAGTTTGGTTAAATAGGTCCGTTCACGACCGATTATCTCTCCTTTGATAAAATTCAATCATTTGCAAGTTAATACGTAATTATTTTACAAGAAAACTAGCAATGGTGTCTCAGGGTGATGAAAGTATTCCTTTGACATAGCTCTCATCAAAATATGTCCAGTCGTCTATGAGTTCCAAGAGAATAAAGAATCACTATAAAATACCTACAGACTAATATTCATATACGACCTTTAAAACGAACCTCTTTTTGACAAGCTTCTTTGCCAGATTTTTGTCTTGCAGTTGATGTCAACGGGTAGGCATGTAGGTAAACATAAGTACATTACGCTTCAAAATGTGCCGCAAAATATAAGAATTTACTGAATTTTTAAGGATCCTCCCATCAGATCTTGACCTGATGACAATGGGACCACCTGGGCAGGGCACGCTTTCAAACAAAAAAGAATTTTTCGAATTGGTCCAGGCGTCTCTAAATGATCGGTTAACATACATAAAAAATAAAAATAAAAGTTCGGGACTAATTGAGAACCTCCTCCTCTTTTGTTTTTTCGTCGGTTAAAAATGACACGTTATGTCAAAATGTCACACAGCATAAATGGTACATCGGAAAATTGCCAAATGTTATTGTCTAAGGGGCGATCTTCACAGTTGAAACGTGCGACTCAAGACAAGGTGCTGCATCGAAGCCGCCAGCACCGTTTTAGCCACGCCCCCAGGGGGTGCTCCCTTTGCGGGGGTCAAGATGTCAAAACTTTTCTTTCCAAGTAAATTTACAATAATTAGCCATCTGTTGATCAATTGTGGAACAAATTAGTGCAATGCCACCTAGGGGAAAAGCTTTGAACAAATACACTTCTAAAACAGGTGAAAGTAAATATACCCGAACACCCGCAAGGCAACGCACTCACCGTACGCGCCGAATAATGCGGATGGCTTAGCACACTTAGCAGCAAGCACAGCTGCATCGAATCGAATCGATGTTGCCAAATAAGTACTTTCCTCCCAGTTTAATGGATAATTTTGCCATGTATGTGTACTTTTCGGAAAGTTGCATGCGGCAGGCA